TCTGTGGAGGTGAACCATTCTCCTGGAGTGATAAAGCTTTTCTCCTTTCTCTTAATTTGTGTGCCCAGAAAATGCCACTAAACCATTCATATTAAAAACACAAAAACTGTAAGAAAAACCGTGCAGTGATTTACTGTGACAGTATGTCATGCCTCCACTTCTAAAATACATCTTCAGGAGAGAGGAGGCCTGCCAGAAGAGTTAGAGGAAACGTTTTTAGTTTGTGTATAACAGAGGTACAGCTGGAAAAACAAACCATGGCTGGATGACTTACAAACAACTAGTATTTTATCTTTGAGGTGATGCCGCTGTGTTTGTGTGTGATCATTTTTTAAGTTTTTATGTTTTAAGTATATCTTGTAACATTTGCTCAGGTTGTGAATTTATTTAACTACTATCTTAACCTTTCCCTTCTAACCACGCAGACGTTGGATGTAACACAACTGAATTTCATTATTATTAACACACTGAAGCCTACACAGCAGCAGGTCCGACCTCTGTGGAGTGTCTAAGAAAACCTGCGGCAACAAGTGAAGACGGGATCAGAGAAAAGTGCTTTTGTGAGCTGGAAAGATGTGACTTTTTCAGGGATTAGACTTCGGCTCGGTTCGGGTCAACTCGGTTCTAAGCCAGTCGACAATCCGGAAGTGTAGTTTTGTGCAATCAAAAGAAAAATGCCACCAACACACATGGGAGGTAGTGGTCTGTGGAGTAAGTGAAGCCCCTGCTGCAGGCACACAGAGAAGCGCTTCCCTCTGCAAAGTTTCTCCGTGGAGCACAGACCGCTAGCAGTCTGCCCCCTGCCGCGGAGCAGTCACTGTAGCCGGCTAACATAGACAGCTGCTGGCGCTGGATACGGGAACGAGGCCGGGGAGATGACGGAACAGGAGGCGGATAAGGTGCAGAAAGTGATACTGGGGCCTCTGTGAACCCACTCAGAAATGTGCTGCTTAATGTCACACCATAAGAAATAAGAGGGGCTCGACTAGCTAACGTCAGCTAGCTCGCTAGCTAGCCGGTTAGTGCTGCAGCTCGATGAGCCTGAGTTCATTTGGAAATGCAAGCCTCGTTTAGCGGGCCAGCACGGCATGAGAGAGGTGAGTGACCCTGGATCCTGCCGCTGCGTCCTGTCGTTGCCTGGGGCGGCTGTTCAGCTAAAAAGCCGTCATTGTGGCTATTTGGCGTTAGCCGGCTTGCTAGCAGCACGTCAGCGCGAGTGAACTGGTTAGCTGGCCGTGAGGATGATCGGTATGTGTGTGATGCTCAGAGACCGCTGTAGAGGGGACAGACGCTGGGCACGGCCCTGCTGCATTTAACACACACCGTGTCCTGTGCTTGAACTCGGCTTCAGCGACGCTGGGCATATGAAGCGAACAGTTCAGCGACACAGACGGCTGCTGTGTGCGGAGTGGACGAGTCAGCTGAAAGCAGAACAACAAGTTTGTAGTGTTGGCAAACTAAGAGGCGTCGGCTGCCCTCCCAGTCCTTCCCTGCCAGCCCCCAGTTCACGGGAATCATGTGAGCCGAACACCGGTAAGCCCGGTCCGTCACTTCAGTAGGTTCGTGCCGCAGGCTGCTCTCTGTCATCCTACCAGTCAGCTCCACGTCGGCTGGCGGAGGGAGGAGGGGATTCACCGAGACTTTCAGCTGGTACACTTTGTGACAGGAGCAACAGTTTCTTCTCTGCTCGGCTCCTCTGGTCGGCTTAAAGCCCTGCATGACAGGACCACGACTTCAGGTACAGTTGGCAGTGAGTTTAACTTGCTGGGCTTCGTCTCTCTGACCAGTTTGTGTCTGTTCTCTCAAATTTGAGGCTTTTTTAATTTCAGTTGAGCTGATGATGTCTGACACTGTCCGGGACTGTTGACCCTTTCTTTAATGAGCTGTCTTTTGCAAATAATCAAGCTGCTTGATATATTAAACACAGAGAGTCATCTGAGAAGTAGTCTCGTGAATATTTAGCATAGGTAAACTTACAGCGATCATTATTATAGGAATCAGAAAC